CCGCCTCACGTTATTAGGGCCAGAGTCAGGGTCGGCCACAAGCTTTCGCACCCACAGGAAGTACCCGGGCACTGTGAACCCAGAGAGGTCAGGGTGGCGTGGGGACGCTTCGAAGAAATCCTTTTGGGGCTTTGGGAAGACCCGGCGCAGTCCAGGCCAAGCTCAGGAAGGCTGCAGCAGTGGCCTCACCGGTGACTGCTCCTCTGTATTTTTTGCTTGCAGATCAACAAAAAACCACAGTGATTGAAAACGGGGAAATCAGGTTCAATGGAAAAGGGAAAAAGATTCGGAAGCCTCGGACCATTTATTCCAGCCTGCAGCTCCAGGCTTTAAACCACCGCTTTCAGCAAACTCAGTACCTGGCCCTTCCCGAGAGAGCTGAACTGGCAGCTTCCTTAGGACTGACACAAACACAGGTAATTCCCGAGAAGCCCAAGTATCCCTGAAATGCTGATCCTGCTTACAGATCGGGCAGGGAGCACATCAGGAGGAATTCTTGGCCTAGTCAACTGAGGATGGAAAGAGCTTAATGACAAATGCCTTTGCTCCATTACACACTTTCCGGGACAACAGTTTGGAATAAATGACCTGGTATTTAATGCTGGATTGGATTTGCACATCCTCCCAACCCTCGGCGACCCCACCCCAGCCTAGTGTCCTTTGGTGACCAAACTCATAAATTAATCGAGTCCTATTCCAGAGCAGAACGACACGAAAGAGAAAAAACATGTAGGAGAAAAAGATGTTCAGGCCAGGAGGCAGAATGAGAGCTATGTTTCTTAAGGATCTGTTTGTGTGGTCATGGGACTTAATAAGGATTTCAACTCACTGGCATAGTTATGAAATTGGGGTGAGGGGGAGGACCAGATATATATAGGCTCCAACAGGATTTACTAAAGGAACCAAAGTGCAAACTATCCATCCTAGGATAGGTGAGGTGGGTGTTTCTGAAGATTGCCCTTAAGCTCAATGGTTAAATCATACTGGGTGACTGACTGGTGCAGGCTGGTGAGGTGCCTTCCTGGAGTACAGGGCTTGCGAGCAATGGCAGAGTTGAAGATCAAAGAGGAATGCTCACCAAATTACAGCAGGTGAAGCCTCAGTTAAGTACAGTTGCTGAAGTTCTCCTGTCCTACTAATTTGAAAGACATATGGGGCATTTTAGACTTCACAGGAAGGGGCTTAAGTAGGTATATTAGGACCCTGGTCATAAAGCCAGGCTGCAATCACCTGTGGTTTTTGTCCTTGTCAATTAACTTAGCTGCATGGGGTGGTAGGCCTCACGTGAGGTGGGTGATCTTCAGCAAGGGGACTCCAGGGTATAGGAGACTCTAGCTGGTGAGTGATTGTGTGCTGCCTTAGAACAGATGTCCCCGAAGCTCTTCTTTTCAATTCGGCCTGCTTTCTCTTGCCATATTGCCACCAAAAATTTTGGGGGTTCCTGCAACTCAGTAACCTGTATTACTCTTGGTAAAGCAGATTCCTATGGCTAAGGAATTTTAAAGGTGAAAGAAGTGGCACCATAGAATTTCCTTCTTCAAACCAAGTAGCTTAGATATGCTTCCATCCCAGATTTCTGATTCACATTTAACTTTCAGGAGTCCTTTGACTTTTAGTGACCGCACTAACAACCATGTGATGATTGTTGACCACAATTTGACTAAACAACATACAAAGTAGGGAACCAGGGAGGTACCATCCCTATTCCCTACAGGATTATGAGGATATATTTACTTCAGGACAAAGATGCTTCATGCACATGCAATATATGCATAGGTATATTCAAGGCATTTGGTTATAAATGTACAGGTTTTTCTCTGTTCACGGTCATTTGCTCACTGTACATGCATAGAAATGTCAGGTTTGGGCATTAGTAAATACGAAACAGACTATCAGAGGAAGTGTGGCTTTAATCTGAAAAGTGCTCTGTTTTAAAAATCCTTCTTTAGACTTTGAACCTGACTATCTCATTCGCCTTCATTCTTATTTTATTCTTATTTATGCTGCTGTTTTAAACCTAGACTTGCATCCCACTGAAGAGCTTAGCACAACAACGTTAGGTATCCAGACAAGATACCTGGTAGACAGGGGCGGGGTGAGAGAGAGGAGGCTAGAAAGAGGTGGAGGAAGGCGGAGACCTGGCGTTTGCAGTTTCGTTTGTTCTGTTTTTTGGGGGATGGGGGTATTGCTTCCAAAGCCTGGAATAGAGGCACTGGTTCGGTGTTTCGCTGAGCCTAATGATCGCTGCTGCCTTTCGTTCCAGGTGAAGATATGGTTTCAGAACAAACGCTCTAAGTTTAAGAAATTGCTGAAGCAGGGCAGTAACCCGCACGAGAGCGACCCCCTCCCGGGCTCAGCGGCCCTGTCACCGCGCTCGCCGGCGCTGCCTCCAGTGTGGGACGTTTCTGCCTCAGCCAAGGGCGTCAGTATGCCCCCCAACAGCTACATGCCCGGCTATTCGCATTGGTACTCCTCTCCACACCAGGACACGATGCAGAGACCACAGATGATGTGAGTTGTCTGAGGGAAATTGATACCCTAGGGAAACGTCTGAACAAGGCAAGGAGGATCCAGGACCTGCTTGCATCTGCCAAACCCAGCCAAAGGAGCAGGCTCGGGAGAACTCTTCTGTGTGGCAAGACAGTCTGGGCGCTGGCTCGCCCTCTCGCTCTCTCTCCCCCTCTCTCCTCCTTCCCTTCCTTTCCTTCCCTCCTTTTCTTTTTCCCTTTCTTTTTCTCATCTGCTTTTTCCCTTGAGCAGCCTCAGTAACTGATTTTGCATCTTAGAGAGAGAGAGAGAGTGAGTGAGAGAGAGAGAGAAACTGGTTTCTATGCCAGTGCTCCTGAAACTCCTCACTGCAAGGACATTTTCCCTTACCCTTTGGGATCCAGGCTCTGAGCCTCCTCTTCTCTTTGGGAATATCCATCAAAACGACTTTTTTTTAACAGACATTTTCCCCCACCAGAAGAATCTGCGCAAACATGGCAGCGTTTTTACTTGTTTAATGAGCTTAAGACATTACATGATGAAAAAGAAGCATTTCGGGCTCCTGCATTTTTATTTACCAATCCCAGACTGACAAAACAAAACAAAACAAAACAAGAAAAAGAAAAGAGAAAGAAAAGAAAAAGAAAAAAACCTTTACCTAACAGCCCTTCTTTAAAGAAAAAGGAAAAATCGGCTGTAAGATTAGAACATTGCCACAAAGGGAACGCTGCATGTTTTATCAAAATGCAATGAGCAAGAATGATGATGTTTTTTTTTTTAAAAAGAACAAAACAAAACCACTCTTTCCCCACCCCACCCCCAAACCCTGAACTGGAATCAGGAAAGACAGAGGAAACAACCAAAATCACCATTCTATTGCTTTGATACCTTTACTAGGTGAATTGGTGGCATTCACTAAGCTAATAGGGACGTTTATATTGAGAAACATTTCTGTATATATTGTTGAATTTTAGTTGTACATATACTTTGTATGGTTTTGTCTTCTTTCATATATGGAGTAAAAGCCACAAAACGCTGGGAGTGTCCTGGATATTTCTCTGTGTGTCTCCATCTCACCACCCCCTCCTCGTCCCTCCCAGTATATTTTCTATCACTCTTAAAAGAACTCCTATTTCCTAATATGGGAAGCCCTATATATAAACATCAAGTGCCTGCAAAGATGTCAGTTTGCAGCAGCAGCCTTTTTCTTAAGTACTTTAACATTAAACATGGATGTTTTTTCAGCTTTCTTTATACATTATATTTTTATTACATTTTCTACACATTTATCTATTTTTTAAAACATTAGAATGATCTATCCCCAGGTTAACTTCTAGACATCCAATAGTTTCTAGTGCTGAAACTGAGTGTTCTCCTTTTCCTTTCCTCAGTCAAAATAATACAGCTGTATTTGTCTTTGTTTGGAAGCAATTTTTTTTTAAACAAGAGGAAAGAATACAAGAAAAAAACAAAGCAAATGCACAATTATAACTACTTAATGTTTACACCCTTTGCAAGCTAGCTAGGCAGGAAAATGCATGATCCTGGATGAAATACATCCTTCCGATCTTGTGGAAAGCACAGAAATAATGAAAATGAAAAGCCCTTTCGTCATACAAGCAGGAAGCCCCATACTGCGAGAATTAATGGCTACAGACCTGGGCATCCTTCAAATTATGAACCTTGAAACCACTGAGCCATTTATCAGAAGTCAATAGAGATACTCAGAGTGCTCCATATAATGACAGCGACATACAGTCGTGCAAAAGGACAGTCACTATAATTAGACACAAAGCAAAGACTACTTACCAATATACCCGTTCCTTTTTTTGTTGAGCAACTTCCACGCTCAGTCAGTCTCAGAATGGTTTAAAACCGATCAGTCTTGTCATTTTCTAGCATTCGCATTGTTACATTAGGAAAAATGTTTTCTTTTCTTTTTTCCCCCTTCCTACTGTGAAACTTTGGGTTCGTAGCTCCCCAGGATCAATTCTGAACAAAGCCTCCAGCTGCAGTGCCATCCAATTTGAAGCAGACATTGGGGACAATTTAAGGTTTTTATCCACAAGAAGGTTTTTTTCCATTCTCTTAAATGCAGCCATAATTAGAGTAATTTTTCATGTAGCCCGCTGATTACAGCGTTTTTACCGTCAAAGATAATTACCTGTAATTTTCTTCCACTTTTAATACTAAAAAGCCATCTTTATTTAGATTCAGGAACAGGAAAGGCGAAACAAAAGAGGGAAATTATTCTGTTATTCATACACAAATTGCAGAGACGTAGGACCTAAAATTGAAAATTAACCAAAATTATAATGCTGAAAAGAATGGAAGAGGCTGCAGAAGTACAGCTGGTAGTGGGGCTTTGCTGAATTATTCAAATTACGTTAGAGAAAAAGCTACCATACATCGAAACCAACACTAATTTTTCTTAAAAAAAAAAAAAAAATCTACCAGACGCATGCCAAACCACTGTGAGTGCATGGAATTCTGAAACCTAGCAAATGCATTTTAACACGTTGAAGGTGTTGTCATGATGCGCCTGTAACGACCTCTCTATCTCTTAACATGAGTTTAATTATACAAGAAATTCTGCAAAGAGGTCCTCCCAAGAACTGTCCTTGGAACTGGGCTCCTCTGGGTCCTTTGAACATGAAGGGTTAATATTTTCGCTCTTAGTAAGTGTTGACCCCATAGTAAACCGATGAGAGAGAGAGAGAGAGAGAGAGAGAGAGAGAGAAATTGGTGGGAGGGGCGTGGTGGGTAAAAGGCATCGCCCCGTCGCGGCGCCTACTACGCCTCCCCACGCTCAAACTTCCGCGGAGTTGGTGTTCTAGAGCCTCGTTCTGACCATATTTTCCAGGTAAAAAAAGAACGAGAGAACAATAGCTGCGGGGGTGCGGGTGAAGGGGGAAATGTCTCCCCGGCGCCAATAAGCATCTCATTATCTTTTGACACAATTTAGCCCAAAGGTCCCCGCCGCCGGAGAAAGGCCTTTCTGTACAGGGGTGAGGGAAACGAAGACTTCTCAGGCTCCTGCACTTAACATCTGTAGCTGCTTCCAAATCTCTACTGGGTCAGGAAACAGCGTCATCTATAGATAGAACAGCACCGCTTCTGGTTAGAGTCTTCCTTGGTGCGTTCCTAAATCGGACTGGTTCCGTAGCTCCACAGCTCGGTTCTGCGTCTCAGCCAATCGTGCCCCTCCAACCCCAAGGTCGCAGCGTTTGGGCCCCGCAGGCAATAGCTGTAAGAACCGCATCC